CTTAATTAAGATCTCGGTTGCATCCTTGAGGTGGATGCAATCCTCCGTGACGTATCCATGACTTCGGTGGAACCAGCAGTATTTGGATTTGTCTATGTTGGCCTTTGGGGCGTTGGTTTCGGGAAACGGACACCGCCCTCTAAAATTCTGTTTTGATGCATTCATACAGGATGCGCTCGCGGGGAGTTCTGAGCAGCGTATACTCAGTGAACCGGCCCGTGGGTTCCATCTGCTCGCAGGGCCAGTCTTCACGTCTCCATTCCCTGCTTCGTCGAGGAGGAGCGACATCCTCATGCCTGACGCCCCTGAAGCCCTTCTGGTTCCGCGTGTCCCGGAAGGTGTTCACGACTTCTATCTTCTCATACTCGATGTATGATTGGGCTTTATGGAGAAAATCATTCAAGGTGCGGGGACGTTCAATTCCAACAGCCTTGGTGAAGTCGGAGTGAGGTCTTATGCCTCTCTGGATCAAGAATTTCTTCATGTTGTCCATGGTGGACACCTGCACGGCCTCTCGGTTGAACCTTTCTATGCAGTCTCAGAGAGGTTTGTTTTTCCCCTGGATAATGGCTTCCAGGGCTGCCTTTATCTTCGGATGACGTCGGGAGGCCGTGAAGTTCCTGGAGAATTGTCTCTTCAGTTCGCTCCAGGAGGTGATGAATTCGGGCGTGAGGCATTTGTACCACGCCATAGCTCCCTTCATATATATATATATATATATATATATATATATATATATATATATATATATATATATATATATATATATATATATATATATATATATATATATATATATATATATATATATATATATATATATATATATATATATATATATATATATATATATATATATATATATATATATATATATATATATATATATATATATATATATATATATATATATATATATATATATATATATATATATATATATATATATAAATATATAAATAAATATATATATTTTGTAGGGTGAATCTGAAGATGCTTCTTCCTAAAACCCATGTACAACATGGTTATTCCAATTATAGAAAACAGGTTAGAACAGGTGACCTAATATCTCCTTCTTTTTTTTAGTTGAGAATGCTCTATGCAGGAGCATATATAAGCTTGCCAAGGATGAAGCCATTGTACTGATAAATGGCACTAGAGACACTCATGTCCCTTCACATGTGCTCTATGTTGATGACATCCTAATTTTTTGCACAATAAAATCTCAAACATCCATGTCGTAACCAATTTGTTCACTAATTACTCTAAAGCATCATGTCATATCTTCAACAAAATCACTCCATTATATTTTTCTATTTAATTTCTAATAGGAGATTAGACCACATCATTGGCTTAACAAGTTTCTCCAAGGAAACTTTAACTTTTAATATTTGAGAGTGCCAATCTTTAAGGGTAATGTTAGATCATATTAATTGCAACCTTTTATGTATATATGTGCTTGCAAGTCTGATGTTTACAACAATTTTTTTGTTTTTTATGATGACAATACTCTAAAGTAAAGTCTTCATCAAAAGTATTGATCAAGTCCATCTTGTTTTGAAGATGAAAACACTATGAGGTGAAGTTGTCATCTAATGCGATGATCAAGCTGTGGTACTTAGAGATTAATGTGGTGATCAATTTGTGGTCATTTGAGATGAATATATCAAAGACTATCATTGGAGGAAAATACCTAATGTCACGCGACATTTGGTGGATTCAATGAAGATCTCTAATTAAACAATATCTTTGATGTTGGTGCTCATTCTGAAGTTATCTCAAGCATAATCAGATAGAAGAAGTCAAATCATAAATGAAGTGCTAAATCAATGTTGAATAAAGTAAGGCATCTCGAATCTTCAAAGTTATGAAAGAGAAAAAGTGTGAAAGCTCACATAATTTGTGTCGATTGATATGTTTGTGTAAAGGTATATGATTAACTCTTGAATTTACCAAAGAAAATCACACACACACACACACACATTTTCGAATGATAAAAAACTCTCTCTAATTTTATTTAAACAACCTGAAAATATATTTTTGCACAAACAATAGATTAAAGACTCATTATAACCAATTAAAAGGGTTTTTTACATTTCATAATTGATTATTAAGTCTCTTAATCGACTAGTCACAAAGTCTTTAAAACCTATCTTTTTTGTACTACATAATTGATTATCTTTGTGGCATAATTGATCACGAGATTTAAAAGGCCCATAGATTCTTTTTATATCATAGTCACTACTTGTCCAATAAATAGATGACTATTTTTTCGTTCAGTCACATCATAAAATGTATTTCAAATACCGTTTCTGACTCTTCTCTCTCTCTCTCTCTCCCAACTTTTGCCTTTGTGCTTTTAAGAAAATCTTTTATCTGTGAGGTGTTTGGTTCTAGTGTGGAACATTGTTGTAATATATCTCATTGTGAGACGTTTGTTTTGGTTGTGAGATAAATTAATTGAAAAAAATTTGTTTGGTTGTTGAGCCGAACCTGGTAAAACCTTTGTTCGGTTGGAAGATCACCGTAATTAAATTGTGTGTTTGATTTGTGAGATTAGTCTTTGTTAAAAGCTCTTAGTTGGTTTGAGATTATTCTAATGTTAAATATCTTAGTTGAGAGGTCTTCGTAGTTAAAACTCTCGTGTTTGGTTGGGAAGAAAGTCATTGTAAAACTGCAGTCCTATTGTAAGAAGGTTCATGGATAAAACATGTCAAAAGCTCACATCATAGTACAAACCCTCAAGAAGAAATTATTAGGGAGAAGAGTAGGCCGGATATCTATAAATTTGTAGTGCATTTTTCTTTTCTCATATCTCATTATTTTGGTGCATATCTTTCGTTTGGTTTAAACTTTGATTTTATCAAAGATTTTATTCAAAAATCATTTTTCAAGTTAACACAAATCACCCCATTCTCTTTTGTGTTTGAAGCCACTTGTCCAACATGTGACATTAGAGTTCTACTCCTGTTTAAATACTAATCATCTCAGATGAAAGATGATGACTGCAGATACTTATGTTTTTTAACACACATCCACCATTTGTGGTGATAGGTTTGAATTGTGGAAAAACTAGATTTAAAAGCTCTATAAAACAAATTGACTTTGAATTGTGGAATTTTTTAATCAATAGTCTATTTATTTCTACTTTCTCATTTAATGGTGGAGTGCTAAATAGACTCGTTTTTCATTGGATTGAAGAAGATACAAGAAAAGTGCAACTCGACTTTAAAGTCAAATATCTTTTGATAAGTGCTTTAAATTCCATTTTTTTTGTTATGTTTTTAATTATGATTCCGACCAAAAAAGTGTGAGACACTCTTGGGATGATTCATAGAGTTTTTCAAAATATAAAACAAGACAAAATGAACACGCAAATCTAGGAAGTTGAAATATTAAATGAGTATGAGAGTCATTCTCATGGATGATACTCAACCATTGAATCCTTGGAGGTTATATTAGAAATTGTGTTTTCAACAACTATCTAAAAATTAAGAGTTAGAAATCAGAAATCTCATCTAACTCTCAAATGAAAAAAGAATAGTGTCTTTGTTGAGTTTCAGAAAGAATTTAAAAAAGAGAGATAATTAAAAAGAAAAATCTTCATCTTTCTCGTCAATAGAATCATTTGATGTAGTAGAATCAATCTGGACAATTTTTATAAGTCAGTAATCATTTGAAGAGTAGTGAAAATTAAAATTTAAGATTATTTTATTTTCATAAAATTATAAACTATATATAAATCAATTTATAATTTTATTTTAACATTATTTATTTTTCGTAAATTAAATTTTTTAAAAATATTTCAACAAGTTAGTCATATATTCTTTCACTTCATCTACTTAATACTCTTTTATTTTATTAATTTATACACTTATATTACAATAATTTATTCTCATGAATTTGATTATTTAATAAATCAAAATTACTAAAATTATAGTTTATAAAAATTATATTATTTTAAAATTATAATTTCAATTATTTTAAAAAAGAATGAGTATTTTATAGATAAAATGAAGAAAACTCAAGTGTAGCTTATTGAAATATTTATGCTAGATATAGACATAAATTCCATAAAGAAAAACGTGTTTATGTGTGAGTTAGGCATGTACATAAACAAAATAAAAATAAAAATTATCATTTTTTAAATTAAGAAATAGAATTTAATTAAAAAATAAATTAAATATTTAATAAATATAGAAGGAACACATGAAACAATTTTTTTTAAAAAAAATTAATAATTGAGAAATGTTAAGAATTCAAAATTCTAAGCAATTTAATGATTCAATTAAAATCCATTCATTTTAAAATTCTTTTGTTTAGATAAAGTATTAAAATAATTCATTGTTAAATTTTTAGTCATTTTTATAAATTTTGCAACTTTTAAGCCAAATTTAAAATGTGAAAAATAGACTCTAATTTGTAATTTTTGAAAATTTAAAGAGACTAGTTTATAAAATTAAAAAAAAATTTAAAGACGCAATTTTTAGAAAATTTTCGGGGTGAATTTAAATTTTTTATAAAATATGAAGACCATTTTGTAAAATTAAAAAAATTAATAATAAACAATTTAACAATTGCTTGATATAGATTGAATGAGTAATTTCAAATTACTTATTTCTTAGTATCATTTAAACTTCTTTAAATTTAACTTGAATTACTTCATAAATTTACCTCATTTTAACAATTCTTTATATTTTTTATCCAAACAGTGGATTTTGGTCAAGTCATTTTAAATTCCCTCAAAATTACTTCACCTCATTAAAATGTTTCATCCAAACACAATCTTGAAATTTAACAAACTAAATCGGCATTTTACAACAAAAGGACCATTATACTTCACACAATTAAATAAATTGAATTGGCCTGGCTATATACAGAGACCAAACGTAAGACATGGAACAAAACTGATTGCTTATTGTATGAGTTAGTGTTATTTGCATGAAAACTACGCACTCTTGATGAATATTGAGATCAAAATCTTAGAAAGCTTTAATAGCCTAAACAACTTCAACTTTAGGTTTGTCTTTGTGTTCAAATTGTCTCACATCTTTACTTGATAAGAGTTCAACTGCTTTTTCCAATGTCACTTCACTTGCCTTCATATCCTGCATACCAATTTAAAGGGGAACGTCAAGAATTATACCAAATTAAAACTGATGTGCAATTAAATTTGTGACCAGGGTGAAGTTGTTTAAAGATGATAAAAACTACAATAATACCTTAGGAATAGAAGTAGTTGTGCGTTTATGTTTTATATAATAGCCAGCCTTTGTAACCTTTAATATGACAGGTTGTCCATCCTTAGGATGCTTACCCTAACCAAGAAGAGTACGTTTAGGAAGTTCGCAATAACTAATGAACAGAACACATGAGAGAGGATTTATTAACTTCAGTGTGTAATAGTTAAACTGATCATATTAACATCTTACTAGCTGAATATTTTATATAAGAAAATACAGTATAATCCTTCATTTGTTCATAAGATATTATTACCAGTTTACCACACCAACTCAACTATAAACTCAGTTGTCAAAAACGAACATGCAAAATCAACCTGACAAGCAGCTCAATTACAACTAAGAAACATACCAATGTCAATGGATATTGTAGCAACGCAAGTGCGTCTTCAAGGGTGGTAGAATTCAAATCCTTTACCTGAAACAACCCAAATAATGAGTTCTTTTCTATTTTTATATAGTAATTGGTCAGACTTGCACAATTAGCTCTTTAACCCATGATTTGGAAAACAAAGAAACCCATCAACAACCAGCAGATGTACAAATGCATGCACAACAAACAAACACAGAAGTCACATTCAGAAAAGGGTGAAAGAAGAAAAAATAGCCACACTATTCAACATAATCATTGAATATAATTCTACCAATTTGATTTGAACCATCAAGATCAAGAAAAGAGATTTTTAGACAAAAATAATGGTCCTGACCCTTTGAAAAAATAAACTACACCCTTTACTATATGACATCATCATAATACAATTGCAAAACAGCTAAGAAAATAGAATATGGTTAAGCAACAATATATGCAATAAAATAATAGTCAACCTTGGTTTGTAAATTGAATCAATTTCAAGTTTACTTTCAAGTATTATTCTGCAGACTGCATTACCATTTTTTAAAGTCTTAATATTTCATATTTCCCCTTTTATCAAGTAAGAAGACTACATACTTGCATCACAAGAAAATTGTACCTAGATAACCTTTCTAATTTTCACATTTTTTACAAAATCCTTCATTTAAAAAAATGTAAAATTTTTATAATACTATTAGAACACTTCGCAATATGTTGGCATTTAAGAAAAATGGAAGAGACAAACTTCTTCATGCCATTGATATTCACACATTGCATGATAGATAATCTAAACATATGTTTATAAGTGGGGGTAATTCTCCATCTTACACACCGGTTTTGTAAGAATGAGTTATATTGAATCCAAGTTCTAACATAGTATTAGAGCCTACACAAAATTCGTTAGACCGCCTGCTATTAGGCTTTCGTTATTGGGCCACTAGGGTTGGGCTTTTAATGTGTGTTAAGAGTCTCATGTTGGATGAGAGATTACTTAAACATGTTTATAAGTACCGATAATCCTCACCTTACTAATTAGTTTTGTAAGAGTGAGTTAAGCCCAGCCCAAATTTTAATAGATACTGTTGAAATACAAGAGACTAAAAGACATATGAATAAATCGTGTTTTGAAAAGTACTACGGAGACATTATTATATATAGAGAGATTACAACTAATTACATAATATAGTCGATATGAGACTATTCTATATACAAATATTCTTAACACTATATTTACAAATATCAACACTCCTCCTCAAGCTTGAGCATATAAGTCAAATGCACCAAACTTGTTACATATATAATTAGTTCTAGGGCTTCGCAGGAATTTTGTAAACACATCTGCCAATTGATCATTAGAGTTGACAAAGCTTGTGACGATGTCACCTGACTCGATATTCTCTCTGACAAAGTGACAGTCTATCTCAATATGTTTGGTCCTCTCAAAGCAATGTGCAATGCAGCTTGATTATCACAAATAAGTGTCATTGTTCTTACTTCTTCAATTTGAAGTTCCTTGAGCAACTGTTTTAACCAAATAAGTTCACATGTTGCCAATGCCATGACCCTATACTCTACCTCGGCGCTTGATCTTGCAACAGCGTTTTGTTTCTTACTCTTCCAAGATATAAGATTTCCTCCAACAAGTACACAATACCTAGAAGTAGATCGTCTATCAATGGGTGACCCTGCCCAATCAGCATCTGAGTATCCAACTATCTGAGTATGTCCTTTATCTTCATACACCAAAACCTTTTGCTGGAGCACATTTGATGTATCTCAGAATCCGAATAACAGCATCCATGTGTTCCTGACATGGGAAATTTAAGAACTGGCTTACCACACTGACTGCAAAAGAAATGTCCAGACGAGTGACTGTGAGATAATTCAACTTTTCAACCAATCTCCTACACCTTCCTGAGTCAGATAGAGACTCCACTTGATTGGATAGTAGTTTGACACTTGGAGTCATAGGAGTATCAGCTGGTTTAGCATTCAACAAACCTGTTTATTCCAAAATATCCATAGTATATTTTCGCTGAGAAATCACCAAACAATCTTTAGATTGGGCTACCTCAATACCCAAGAAATAACAGAGTTTACCAAGATCTTTTGTCTGAAATTGGTTCAAAAGATGTTGTTTTAACTAGAGTATTCCCTGTTGATCACTACCAGTTATGACAATATCATCTACATACACAATAAAATAAATGCACCCTTGAGCTGAGTGACGATAAAAAACAGAATGATCAGCTTCACTACGGACCATACCAAACTGTCGTACTACAGCACTGAATCTGCCAAATCAAGCTTCCGGAGATTGCTTAAGACCATAAAGAGACCTGTGTAGCCTACACACCATATTCTATGACTCTCACTGAGCAACAAACCCAGGTGGTTGCTCCATATATACTTCCTCTTTAAGATTCCCATGTAAAAAAGCATTTTTAACGTCAAGTTGGTGAAGAGACCAATGTCGAATGGCTGCAATGGCTAGAAGAAGTCTAACAGATGCCATCTTGGCTACAGGCGAGAAGGTATCACTATAATCCAACCCAAAAATCTGAGTGTATCCATTGGCTACCAAGCGAGCTTTAAATCGATCAATCTTACCATCGAGACCAACCTTCACTGTATAAAGCCAACGACAACCTACTAAAGATTTTCTAGAGGGTAGAGGAACCAGTTCCCAAGTACCACTGCTTTGAAGAGCACACATTTCATCAATCATTGCTTGCCTCCATTCAGGGTGAGTTAATGCTTCATCTAGATTTTGAAGAATAGAAACAGAAGACAAAAAAGACAAACAAGTATATTGCAAAGGAGAAAGACGATGATAACATAAATCAATATAATGTTGAGAATGATTTCGTGTTTACCATATACCTTTTCGAAGGGCAATTGAAAGATCAGACTCAGGTGGCAGGATCGGATCCGGTGATGGCGAGAGCGTCGGAGGAGAGTCTGCAATGACCTCAGGGACATGTACGACCTCAGGAACAGGTACGGCCCCAAGAACAAGTACGACAAACATTGGTTGACGACACTGATATGTTTGAAGTGGGCGAGAAGTAGGGGGGGGGGGGGGTCAACTGTAGGCCTATCTAGTGGGCTAGGTTCCCTAAAATGATGAGGGACAATGGCAGATGGGACTTCCGGAAGAGGTGTGGGAATACTTTTTTGAAGGGGTTCCGGAGTTGCTTGGCTGGACTCGGAATATGGAACAGACTCGAAGGTAACATCGGCCGATATGAGGTATCGTTGTAGAGTATGTGAATACCAACGATAACCATTTTGGGATCGATGATAACCAAGAAAGACACTTTAGTGATCGAGCTGATAGTTTATCAAGATCAGGGGAGATATTGTGTACAAAACATGTGGACCCGAAGACTCAGGGAGGAATTGGGTGAAGTGGAGAATTAGGAAAAAGGATTAATGAGAGATTTTATTGTTAAGGACAGATGAGGGCATGCAATTTATAAGGTAACATGCCGTTAGCATAACATCCCCCCAAAACCGAAGTGGAACATTAGCATGGAGAAGTAGGGTCCGAGTTGCTTCTACGAGATGCCGATTTTTGCGTTCAGCTACACCGTTTTGTTGAGGTGTGTGAGATGTTTGATGGAGAATACCATTGTGTGACATAAAATTTTGAAACTGTTGGGATAAATATTCACGGGCATTGTCACTTCTTAAGGTACGGATAGACACACCGAATTGAGTTCTTATTTCTCGATAAAATTGTTCAAAAATAGAAAACAATTCAGATATATTCTTTTAAATATAACCACGTGCAATGTGAAAAATCATCAATAAAGGTGACAAAATACCTAGACTCAAGAGTAGAGACAGTACGCGAAGAACCCCAAACATCAGTGTGAACTAAAGCAAAAGCGGACGAAGTTCGTTTGTTGACTCGATTGGAAAATTGACTACGAGTGTGTTTCCCTAATTGACACGACTCACAATGTAAATTAGATACCTTTGATAAATTTGACACCAACTTAAGTAATTTGGAAAGACTGGGATGACCTAACTAGTGAGTGGAGAATCTTTGCCTGAGCATGTCTGAGATGACAATGAAAGATAATAAAGGCCTTGAGACTCCTATCCGACGTCAATCGTCCGTCCCGAACTCCGATCTTGCTGGGTAACATTATTGTTAGTGAAGGTGACACCACAATCAAGAGAACAAGTTAAAAGACTAACTGAAAGTAAATTAAATGGACAATTAGGTAAATAGAGTACAGAAGTAACAGAGAGAGAAGGTAGAATTTGAACAGTGTAAATCCCTTCGGATCGGATTTGAGAACCATTGGCAGAAGTTATAGTAGGTAAGAAACCAGAGGTAGAGAGGGGAAAGAAAAGATTTTTATTACCAGTAACATGATCAGACGCACCAGAATCAAGGACCCAAGGTCGAAGAGGAAATGATTGAGAGAGGCAAACAGATGAATTACCAATGTCTGCTACCGTAGCAGTAGAATCTGAGCTCTGATAATTCTGATACCACCCGAGAAAATCATCGTAGTTTGGCGTAAAGTTCTGAGGAGTAGCCATGAGTATCTAAAGAGAGAAAATATCACGCAATTGGCCGCAGGACGTGCTGTCACATGCGGTTCAGGTAGCGGCGCGTGATGCCCACGCGCAGAGACGGAGGTGGCGCCTGTGGCTGCGTGTGGAGACTTCTGCCGGTGGAAATATTTGTCGGAAGGTCGTCGGAAATAGTAGCGACGACGGCGGACGACGGCTATGCAGTTATGACCGGAGAATATTTGAAAACTGATGGTGGGGTCGGTTTTCCGAAACGTCACCGGAAGTTTTACTAGAACAATACCGACGGCAGTGGCGGCAGGATGGTTATCGAAAATTTTTGAAAAGTGAGAGGCAAACCGAAGTGACAACACGGTTTGCAAAAAAAAATAATAATAATAAATTTCTCACAGTGGGTCAACCAGGTAAAGCACGACGAAGAAAGAATGTCTCTTAGCAGATTTTAGATACCATGTTGAAATACAAGAGAGTAAGAGACATATGAATAAACTGTGTGTTTTGAAAAACACTACGGAGACATTATTATATATAGAGAGATTTACATGATATAGTCGATGTGAGACTATTCTATATACAAATATTTTTAACAATATTTATAAATATCAACAGATACAAACTATTATAATACCTCACATTAATGGCACAAAACAACTAAACTACTAAGAGTCAAAATGCTGAAAATGCTAGAATGACGTACATAAGGAACAGAGCTTCTTTTAGGTGTGTTTCCCTTCCTGTTTTCTCCAAGCTGAACATAGATTCCATAAGGACCACTTTTCAAAAGAACCTGAGGGAAAATATATGCCAATTATACACAATATTTCAAACAAGTCAAATTACACCTGTCCAGTAAAACATACAACAAAGCCAAGTTAAGCAAACCTTTTCATTTGAACTACTATGAAAGCCTAGGAGTTTAGGTTCCTCTATCGTAGTGTTTGGCTGAGGTGTATCTTCCCCCTCTTCGTTGACATTAAATGTGTTAGCAATGTATCTGTTTTCAAAAATCACAACACTCAAAAATATGTAATTTCCAAATGTAATGAGGACAAAAAAAATACGGCAGTCTCGAAACTTACATAAGACCCCATGAGTTATGCATATCCATAATTTCAAGAGACCATGTATTGCACACATAGCATATCTAATAGCTATATAGTTTTAGAAGTAGTGGAATACATTGCACCTCGGACCTCATTATTTATTTGTATCATAAGAATCAAACTGTACAGTAGCTATGGTTTTTTTAGCATTGAGGAAACATTGCTAATCACCATTCTTCTAAGTGTCTAAAGTAGCATATGAGTTCACTATTGTGTGAAAATCGCACAACAGTTAGGCTATAACATAGAACCTACAAACCAAATATGTAGAGCATATAATACTCACTTGCAGCTCGGATGTTGATCACAGCCTATAAAGTATCCAGCACCAAATCTACTTACTTTAAATATCAGCGTGCCTTCCGTGCAACTGACACATAAACATAAGTTGTCAAACAAATCGGGCAGTATATCATGAATGCAATCAACAAACCATTTTTCTACAGATAAAATCAGCATAATCACATTCACAACAGAAAATTTATCCTATTATAACTAGAACATTACAATGTGAGTTCATATAACTTATACTAGTATTCCACGAGGTCAACGAATACCATTTACTAGGAAAGGTTGTATCTGTGGATTTTCGACGGTAGTGGATGATGCAATGTCAGCCAAGTTTCGTAACCGATATAAGTAAATTCTTACACTTTAATAGTTTGAAAGTAGCGTGCGCACGCTTATCTTGTTATCATCTCTTTTACCGCAAACGCAGCATAAACATAGCATCATGAGGGTGTGGGAGAGATTAATATTTAATTATTTCCACCCATAATATGGCATAACTTACCATGGACACGATCGACTCTTATTTAGGAGAGAACCAAATAAATAATCCTCAAACTCTTTTTCTAGCATCTTCTCAACCTGCAGTATAAAATCATTCATTAGTGCATAAGATGAAAATATACAATGCACATTTTCTTATTTCCAGCATTATTTGATTGTAAAGAATTAAATTCCCCTTCCTATTTATACTCCTTATTCTTATGTAATCAGTTTTATTATCAAGTGAGTAAACAATCACTTTTCCGCACAAACATACAAAGTGCATTGAGAACATTGCCAAGAGAGCATATCAATAAAAACATAATGAGACCCCAAAACAGCAAGCATTGAGCAAGAAGAAAGTATAAACACCTGGTGAATATGAACATTAGAAGTTTGCTCACAATATGATTTAAACCGTATCCAATAATCTCCGAGGAGGCCTTTCCATTTGGTTGTTCCAGCAGAAACATTATCAAGCTGTAAAATCACATTCCCAAAAACAATATTCCATGAAATCACAATTTATATATGTTTGGTAATTATATAATAATCCTAGGAATATCATTTAAATTTACCTTAGTCAAAAAAAAGAAATGAAAGTAGAAAGTTAAATTTGGTTGAACTTTAAAATAATCTTTTTTGCCATGAGAATGCAAAATTCCCACCCTTCACGGGAATGAATAAAGAGGGGAAGTATGAGCGAAATAGATTCCTGAGAATCCATGGGAATATTTTTCCAAAACATGTAAAGAATATAAATAATATTCCTAAATCTGCTTTCTTAGGAATGCTTTTGCATAACTTAAGAAATATGATCTAAAATACATTGCAGAGATCAAGTGGGGAGAGGACACAATCATAGTAGATACCTCAGTTTCCATACCAGCCGTGAAACTGTAGTCTGTGACCTCTGAAAAATGATGCGACAGAAAAGCTGAAACCTAAATATCACCCAAAAACAGTTTAAATCACAACATAGTAAAAGATAACTGAAAATAGACAAGCTTATAATGAGTGAAGTCATGTACAATATGAAACCAAAAGGAGTCATCTATATAATTAAATAAATAAACAATAATTATAAGGCTCATTGATGAGGGAGAGAGACTCTTGGGCAATAAGAACACTGAGGAATGCATAAATAATGGCAAGGATTCAAACTAGCATGATTCAGATTCCTTTTGCTTGTCTTGCTCAATCAGAAGCATAAATGCTTTTTACTTGAAGAGTCGAGGGAAGAACTAAATGGGAGGTTGGAGATGAGCCTTAGAAGCGTATTACGTATAGCTTCTGATTGAGCAAAAGTAAGACAGAGTATATGGAATGTAAGTTTAATAAAAGGCGGAGTGATTCTATCTAAGTGAAAGTTGAAGATCATATTGTACTACAAATTACGCGGTTTAAATATCTTGGGTCCAGAGTACAAGACGACGGATAAATAGAAGGAGATGAAAACCATCGAATTCAAGCTGAGTGGTTGAAATGGAAGAGGGTCTCAAGTGTTTTATGTGGTACGAAATCAAACTGAAGAGAGCATTTTATCGGATAGTTGTGAGACCGGTACGTAATGTTGTATGAGACAAAATGTTGGAGTGTAAAGAATCAACATGAAAATAAATTAAGTGTAGCAGAGATTAAGATGTTGTGTGAGATGTGTGGTAATACTATACAAGATAGGACAATAAATGACAATATTCGAGAGTTGGGTTAGCACCTATTGTAGAAAAGACGGTGAAAACTAGGTTTAGGTGTTTGGGCATGAAAACAGAAGACGTGGATAATCTGTAGTAAGGAGAGTAGATTATATAAAGGGTAGTCAAACCGCTAGAGGTAGAGGAACACCTAAAAAAATTATAAGAAAAACTATTTAAGAAAAATCTCAAGATTAATGAGTTGGATAGAAGTATGATTTTAGATAGAACATTATAGCGTAATTTGATTAATGTAGTTGACCCCACTTAATTAAATAAGGCTTAGTTGTTTTTGTTGTATAGACAAAAGGGGAAATACTGAAGACAATAGTAAAAAGAGCATAAAACAGGCCATACATTAGATAAATTGCATTTATTATTGATATCATAATTCAAAGGAATATATTTGTGAATATGTTAAGTGTTGTAGCTTTAAATTAGAGGTACTATATGCATAGCATGGGAAAAAATACAGAGAGAAGATATAAATCATTTTATTCCAAAAGCTCAAGCTACTAAGAGAAAGACCAGCATCATTTGAAGTCTTCTTTTGCAGAATATTAATAACATAGTACAACAACAGAACTGGTATTTTCATCCTAATGAACAATAAATTCAGAACTTCAAGCCCAAAGCTTACCATACGACCACGAAATTCTGGAGAGAGAACACGTTGTTTTACGGTCACGTACTTCCTATCCTGAAGCAACAAACAAATGAGGGCTCATAATTCTTTAAAATGATATTTGAAAGTTAACACATGCAATGCCATAAAATTTCCATGAGATGGAGTAAACATATAGAAATAAAGAGAGTGAGAGACAGCATCGACAAGCAAATTCCACAAGGAGACTTACATTTAGTTTTAGGAAGGGAGAATATAAACAGGTAAAATCTCAGATATACAGAGTCAGTTTCTCAATTCTTCTTGAAAATGATTGTTCCAATGGATAACTACTACTGTCACAATAAAGACCAAATTGGAAGTCACAAACTATGACATGTATGAGAGGATCCGTGACAGGAAACCATAATTTCAATGATTCATATAGCCAACCTCAGCTAGTGGGAATAGGTTTTGGTTGTATCTGATAATATATTCTGAAGGTTTCTTTTATATTCAGGTGACTGCTTTTCCCTGGAACTTCAACCTTACTATCTGATAATACAATCAAATTACTAACTTCTGGCTAACAGAAAACTACACTAGTAGCTCTAGTCAACTGCTTCTTACGCACCACAACCTCCTTACATTATCTAAAAGGATAACCCATAAGTAACAGTTATTTGATTATACAGTTTCCAGTGTGAGAAAATAAATTACCAATAGGCTTTATTTTCTTACTGATAGATGTCAGCCAGTTATTATGTTTCTTATTTTACTGATTCCTTGTTTTTCTTTTTCACCAGAAGACTTATTTTCTTCTTGTTTCACCTCACCCAGTAAATAGATTTTCCTTATTTCTTCTTGCTTTTCACTGTTCAGCTGCTTCCTTGTTTCATTGGCTTTTGTTGATACTTAATGGTGGGAGTCCTCCATCAGATGGGATATGGCTCAAAAATGAGTTTACAAATGGAAGACATGCCTCACCTTAGAAATCGATTTTGCTGGGATTGAGTTAGGCCCAACCAAAACTGATGGTATCAGAGTCTATCTAAAATCTGTTGGATTACCTGCTATCGGACCACTCAGGTCACGCTCAAAATATCTAGTCCTAGGTGTGAGTGTGTGTTGAGAGCCTCACACCAAATGAGACTTGGTCTATAAATGAGTTTATAGATGGGCTCACTCACCTTATCTTAAAAGCCGATTTTATATGAGTTGAGTTAGTCTCACCTCAAATTTTAAGAATTAGCTACTTGTATCTTTTTTTAATAAATGTGACTTTTATTTGTATTTAGTTGTATGTTTTGCTCAAGACCTGTTAAATTTTTATTTCTACATACAAGAAATTTTACAAATTGAGTAACTTGTTAAATTTTCAGCATTAAGAATTTATTATTTATTTAATCTACAGAAATTACTCCAAAATAGCCGTCAATAGTCATCATGTTATGGGCTACATCGCTATAGCAATTTCAGGACCAGCCAGTCTGCTATTCTAGATTGACAATTTGACAATAACTATGGCTTTCAGGACCAGCCACTCTCCTATTTTAGATTGACAATAATCACGGCAGAGAAGCCAAAAGAATAAAGAGATGGTAATGAACCCAACCCATTTTCATAGCCCATGACCCATGAAAATAAATAAACCCTAATAAAGGATTCAACTATTTTCCTCTTCATCCGTCTAACTCATTTGAGCCACACCACACTCTAATTTTTCTTATTGTTAGCCTTGACAAGACAAGATATAAAATAGAAAAGACAAGGTATGGTTATTGTAACAGCCCGAATTTCATTAAATAATTAATTATAGTAATTAATTGATTTAGTGGAATTTTTATTAATGTTGGAAATTAATTTTTATTAATTGGAATTAATAGAGAATTGAGAAGGAAATTGGAAGGAAGGAAAATAAAGGAAATATATAATAGAGAAGGGAAAAAAAAGAAAGTTAGAGAGAAACATTTGGAAAGAAAGAAGAAGAGAAAGAGAGGAGAAGAAGAGGAAAGTGGAAAATCATCAAGAACCAACATCAAAGCTCCGAGTAATCGAGTTAAGGGTGAGAAATGTTTCTATTTGATCATTGCATGATGTTATATATGTTGGGTTGAGGTTTTGGTGTAGTTTCCATCCTTTTCCATTTAGGGCAAAAGTTGGAATAATCGGTAGAACTCAATTTAATCGGTTAAAATCTGAAATAAATGATGTAGAATAGTCTAGAAATGTTAGACTAAGAGTATTGGAATTGGATTGGTGAGATTGGAGTTTTTGGAGTTGGTTGAGTTGGATAACAGTAAGTGAAAAACAAAATACGCAGACACTCGCTAGCAGCTCGCTAGGCGAGCAGGTCGCGAATGCTCGCTAGGAGCTCGCTCAACGAACAAGTAGCGAATGGTCCCAGACTTGGACAGAATGGATTTTGGTGTGTTCGCTGGTAGCAAAAGTGTAGCGAAGAGATAGCGAACGATTCGCTGGGAAGCTCGCTGTAGCGAGCAGGTAGCGAATGAAGTCAGTAACTTCTGTTGAGATTCGCTAGCACGTTCGCTAGGCGAACAAGTAGCGAACACTCGCTAGGAGTTCGCTTAGCGAAGGAGTAGCGAGTATGACAGGTTGATGTTTTATTTGAGATTTATCCATAGGTTGATTGTGTGGTCCGACTATGGTTTATTGCTTGATTAATCGCATAGTTTATGTACTATTGTGATATGTTGTGGGTAGCCTTCGGGCGTGAATCTTAGGTTTTGAGATGTGTATATTGTTTGTATTGATTGGAAATGCATGAGAACATAATAGAGGTTATGTGTGCATTGTCTGATAAATTGTGAATGCCTAATGTTGTATGCAATTGTGTGATAAGTATGCATGAGAACATTGTGGATATGTGTGCATGACTTGTGAATTACGTTAATGGTATTAATGTGAATACCTTGAATTGTTATGAATATGTTGTGTGTGCAATCATGTTGTAATTCTTGAAGAGATGAATTATTGGAATGCATGAGATTAAGATGTCGGTCTTAAGTGCATTTGATTTTCGATTGCATATGCATCATTTAGTCAAGAGGCAATGCTTGCTAGTTTCGTGGAGACTAGTGACTTGTCCCAAATCTAGAAGAGTGGGTTTGAAGGCTTAGAGGACGGACCTTTGTTGTTATCGGTCTAGAAGAGTGGACCCGGTTTAATGTAAAAACCGAAAAATGATAACGGGTTATCGGTCTAGAAGAGTGGACCCGGTTTAATGTAAAAACCGAAAAATGATAACGAGAGCCGGTACCGCATTGCATGAGTTGCATTGAGTTGTTGAGTCACATTGATATATGACATATGCATGAAGAGATGCTTATGTGTGAATGATAAGATTGTGGAAATGTGAGTGTATGCATGATGTGGGAATGCTTTGTGAATATTCATGTTGTTTATATATGTGTGGTAAATATATATATGACTAAGAGGGTGAATTGTGGTGAGAAATATGGAGTTGAATTATATGATTACCTATATATATATATAATCTTATGCTTTGATTATTATGGTTATATTTCTCACCCTTCTGCTGTTTTATAATGCTCTACGAGGCATTGCAGATTAGGATGCTGGAGTTTTTTTGTGAAGTTATCTTCATTCTTTTGAGTCGGCTGCTCTGATATGTAACACCGGGTAGTTAGACTAGTATAGTTATTCTTTTGTGATACATTGCGATGTATCAGCTGATGTGGTTTTGTAATTATCTGACATGATGTATCAATCTGGATATCTTATCTGTTTGTGAATTAATAATTTGGAAATGATTAAATGATTTTATCTTCCGCTTAAATTTAAATGTTGAAATGTGATTTCTAAACCATGAAAATGTTACATATTTTATGGAGCAAATGTTAAAGTGTTTCATTGGTGAAATTGTGACATTCTTCCTTTATACCTTATTCTAAAATTTTCACTCTGACAAATTTGTATATGCATTTATTTGGGGGTATAGAAGGGGGTGTTACAGTTATGACATTAGACTGTCCCCAAGTAAAATACCTGTAATACTTTTAATGTGCTTGCATATGTTGAAGGTCGTCCAATCCCACGCTCTTCAAGCTCCTTAACCTACGGCATGCGAATATTATTAGGGAAATCCTAAAAAGAAAATGAAACAGACAAGGTGCAAAAGAAATGAAAGCTCTCTATCTCCTTGCAAGCACAAAACATATATTTAAAAGAGCTCCTATTCATATTGAACTCAATAAGCAGCAATAGATTTATTTATTTCAAAGTTTACATGACAAAGAATTCAATATATGCATATGTTGCCATACATGTAGATCAACGGGAAATTGAGATAAGAGTTCTTTGTAACAATACTACAAATGTAGCTTGTTTGTGCACAAGTTTGAGAGGGACTGTCACTAGCAAGCAGCCAGCCACAAGATTAATGGGTTTAAAATAGTATTTCATTCTGCACAAGTTTCTGTCATCAGATGAACTAACAAATCAAAGTTTTTGAAGTTTTAATGAGTACGCATAAAAGTACAATGTTAGAAGGAAAATAAAATCCAATAAACAAAAGGCAAGCATGTGTAATATAAAAGTTTACTGTTGAACTGAATCAGGTAGAACCCCAACAGGCCCAACTAAAGAAAATGGGCGTTGTTTGATAATTAAGACTATACTACAAATCAGTAAATTAAAATCTCGTCGACTTGCACATCATTCATAATTGCCTCAAAACATTACGATATCTGGTATAACATAAAAACCAACATCTTGAAACCTAGCAATAGCATTTGCTCAAAGGATGAATGCAACATGCTTCCAGGCATGTTAAAATGCAATATATATCTACTCATGACACAAAATGACTTACCAATGATGCTTCGGAGTAACGTCGTGGTGGTTGCGTATGCTTCTGAGTCACCTCAGTTTGAACAAGATGTAACAGATCCTCTGTCTATATAATAAAAAGTCAATGAAGGGCAAGGTATTGCATAATTTACAGCATCACTAAATACTGAAGCGTAAATGAAGAGTAATTATGTCCAAAAAGAAAGCAATCAAGAATTAGTTTTAATCTACCAATGGTGAAAGTCCATTTCTGATTGATATGAACTTTCAGCACCATAAATGGGAATTCACAGATTGGAAACACAACAGATACATAAGAAACGTAGCGTAAGGCAACGTAAGAACAATAGGCAATTTTCAGAGGCATATACACATTCCTGAGCCTATCCTTCACATGCAATTAAGGCCCCCGCCCACAAACCTACTGACTAAATGATCGGAGTTCAATAATTGTTACGACATTCTTTTTGAATAAAGCTTAATTTCCGCACAATAAAATGGAATTCTACATAGACAAACTTTAAATTCAAAGGGCTATTGCATGAGGAAGGAGAAAGGAAATTTGTTATCATCTAGCCTCCACCTAACTAGGGATGACAAAAAAAAACCGTGCCCACGGGTATCTCAGATAAAATCCGTCACAGGTACGGGATGGGGAGTTTAATGGATAATTGTGAATAAAATAAATATATATTTAAATACCTGTTTTTTTATGGATACAAACAGTGGTGGATCCAGAAATTTTTTATAATGGGGGCAAAAATTAATCTATAATCTATTTATAAAAAAATAATATTTAAATTTTTTTTATATAATATATACAATTTTATAAGGAAAATATATTAAAATAGTCTATAATATTTAAGACTATGTTTTCATTTTCAAATATTATTATTTTATATTAAGATGCTTTTTTAACTATACAATTTAATTATTTTACAAGTACTAATAATTAATTCTAATAAATAATTATATAACTTTTTATGTTTTTTTAATAAATTAACTTATTTAAGAAAAAAAAAAGGTTATTTTATTATGGGGGCAAATTGAAAAATATAAGATAAGCTTCAAATAATGTTAAGAAAATTATTTCTTAACATTAGTTTATTATACTCTATCTTTTCATCTTTTAAAAAAATTAGTCTTCTCATCTTTTATTTTTTAAGTGTTCTTTGAAGAAAACCTTTCACATTCTATACAAATTATATTTAGCCATTTCATAGTTATGCTTATTCTATACTCTAAACCTCACTTCAACAATTCTACCGTCCAATCAACCAGTACCACCTTTCTTTCGTCCAACCAATGTCTCCCTTCCTACTCTTCTGCCATCCACTCTTCCAAGCTGAAAATATTTTTTTCAAAAAATAATTAAAAAAATATTATCCATGGATATGGGTAAATATCCGCGAATATCTTAAAACCCATGGATTACTCGTTTAACGGATATCCACACGGATATGGGACGGATACGTTCATATTTATCTAACAGAACGGACACGAATATCATCTATCCATCCTCATGAATATCTATTTACATTCCATCACCTAACCGCAAAAACTTTTAGAAGAGCTTCCTTTCCCCTACTAGATAATAAATAATAAAATAGAAAGGGAAAACAAGAAACTACTACATTTTAAGGGCCCTTATTGTCTTGTCTGTATATATATGTCAAGATCGTCCTTTTAAAAACCAAAACCCAATGGCCACTGACAAAGTAACATACGTGTTAAGAGTCTCACGTCAAACAATATATGATATGTACATGTATTTAAAAGTGAGGACAATCCTCACCATACAAATCAGTTTTGAAGGGTTGAATTAGGCCCAAACATATTTTTTAACATGGTATCAGAGTCTAGTCCCGATCCAGAGACATGTGGGTTATGGACCCACAAAAAATCAGGTTATCTTATTATTATAACTTTGAGTTTATATTCTCCTATCTCTTCAATTATCTGTCAAAAACACTTTATCGTTATTTCATCCATGGAAAACTCCACCATCGTACACGTGTGTGTGTGTCCAGCCTGTCAATCGATCGGATCTTCAAACGACTTTCCTAGTTTTAGTAATTGTATTTTAAATAATTGAGTTCAACATAACAAAATTATAATCTTGCACATGTTATATTCTGTGCCACCTCACATATTAGATGAGATTCTCCTAGATATTGAACACGTGTTTATAATTGGGGACAATTCTCACCTTACAAACTGGTTTTTTAGAGATGAGTTAGACTCAACCACATTTTTGAACATGGTATCAAGAGCCTCGTTTAAGATTCGGTGGGCCACCTGCTATCAGACTTCCACTATCGAGTCACCCACCATTTATTTCCACACTCTAGATGTTCAATCCTAAGCGTGAGGGGATGTGTTAAGAGTCTCACATTGGACGATAAATAGTATGAACATGTGTTTATAAGCGATGACAATCTTTACCCTACAAGCCGGTTTTGTAGGGTTAAGTTAGGCCGAACCACGTTTCTTAACAATAAACAATAAGAAAACCAAGAAAAGCATATTGTACAAATAAACTGACAAGGCACTAGGGATGGCAATTATACTCGTTCCCAATGTGTACCCGCAAAAATTACTCACAACGGATAGGTTAAAAACCCGCAAAATGGATACGGGCATGGACAATTACCCACTAAAATAAGCGGGTATGGATGCGGGTACCTTAGTACCCAGCTCGCCCCATACCCGCACTATATATATCTATTTATTTTTATTTTCATTATTATGTACACATGTTAATCTAACAATTTTATTATATACATCACTATTAAATTTCTTTGCATTTTAATATAAATGTTTGTTTATTTCTTATCTCAACAATAACATCTTCCAAATTTTTTAAATACTCTTAAAAAATTAAAATGACATGATAAATTATAAATGATCAATCATTTTTTATTAAAAATGCGGATAAATGGGTATGGGTATGGGTACTTAGGTACCCAAAAGGTACGAGTACGAATACAAACATTGGTGCCCATGTGGATATGAGTTTGGATACGGGGATTTTTTTTAAACTGCGGATTTATAGACAGGTACTATGATACCCTGCCCAAATCCTACCCATTACCATCTCTACAAAGCACAAACTTGACATATAAATGGAGAGACGTGAAATTATTTTCAATAACATAAATAACAATTAATTTCCAGAAATATTACCTTAAAGGAATTTAGAACCTCAAAAGCTAGCTCACGATTGGATTCGTCACTATCTTTGTCTTGTCCAGCTTCAGTGACAATGTCCTAGGAATGGAAAGAATCATACATAAGTCGAGAACATCGGTTTAACTGTCTTACTCCTAGAAATGTTTAATACATGTGGGAATACAAAACCATCGATGGACCAAGAGATAAAACATTTGAAGCACTGTACTTAATAGGGACCTAAAAAGAAATTGGTTGAAAACAAAATAGTATCACAGCATTTATACATAAAATATCGAATTCATATTGAATCCAATGTAAACTACATGGAATCTAGTAAGTCTCTTTTATAAAGTAATACGCACAATATAGAACCACATACATCTCTGCACTTAAAATTTTTTTTTCTTCATGTGGAGAGACTCTAGAGTAACTTCAGCATAAATATAGCAAACAACATGGAAAATATTTACAAAACATTTTAAGATTCAATATTAGATATAATGCTCTCTGAAGCATACAGCAGAACTTCAAAATTTATTTCTACACAAGTTTTAAATTTGGAATCTCCCAGTAATAGATATTTACCCGGTTGCAACAAACTGGTAAATGAACTGAAAATAATACTATAGTCCATTGATAACTAAAAATAATAGTAAATTAATAACAACAATTAAGTTGATGAAAATTAACAATTATCATTATAAATAATAATAATAATAATAATAATAATAATAATAATAATAATAATAATAATAATAATAAGTATAGTAAACAAATAAAACTCATTATTTGTAAATCACAATCAACTAGAGCCGTCTATTTATGCGGTTTTAAAAAATTGGGGCCTAATTTTTAAGACCCCCTTAAACTAAAGGCCTCCTAAATTAAAGTACGGTCCCATAACCCCAACTTTTTTCACTCAACTTTTTTATTCCAAATTTTTTAAGAAGTTTTTTCAAGAGAGTTTTTTTCGGTTTTAGAAAAGAAAACAAAATTATTTTCAAAAACTAAAGTAGTTCTAAACAATTTTTTCAGAAAATAAGGCCTTAAGCCCCCTAAAAATAAGGGATCAAGAAACACCCATTCAATAGGAGCCTAAAAATAAAGGGTCCAGTGGGGGGCTTAATTAATAGAGCTTTGTCATGTAGGACTTTTTTAACACCTATACAATCAAATGGTATATAAATTATTGCAAACCATCACAAGGCAAATAACATCACCTCACAATTTAACTAATCTGCAAGAACTAACCATACCATAAAAACTGCACGGTATCCAGGAAATTCAACCCTTGAGCTAGCAGACCGAAACATAATAGACCGATCAGCATCTCCAATATCAAGTTGTATCTGGAGTCACAAATATATTAGGAAACAAGTTTGGTCAAGAATAATAACTTCAGTTCATGTGAACTTTAATCAACACAAATTATATTTCATGATATATTATGCTAATGATCTTCTTTTGGGATAGACATTGTTAGAATTAATTACTCCCTCCGTCTCAAAATAAAAAGTCTTTTAAGGTTGTTGCACATAGATTAAAAAAAACAATGATTGAATAATTAAATATAAGAATTTTACAAAACTGTCCTTAATTACTATTAGTTGTCATAAAAATATAGTGTGATATAATATCTTGAAAATTGTGTAGACAATATTTAATAGGGGTAAAGTTGGTAAAAATTAATTATTTTTGCATTGAAAACGTAAAAAAAACTCTTTTTTGGGACAATTTTCTTTAGTTAGAAAGACTCTTATTTTGAATGAGAGGGAGTATGATTGTAGATATTCTAGAGTGATTGATACTAGTATTCCTAGACTAAACAACTTCCTAGGTTAGTGTGCTTACTCATTAAGCTTCAATGTATTTATTGTAACACTAGTATAAATACTGGAAGAAAGGATGGGTCTCGTAGAAGCTAACCCGGTTTTTCATAAAAGAACTAAATACATAGAGAGAGTGAAAAGCTAAGTATAAAGAAAGCTGAGGTGTTACTGATATGAAAACACATTGCATATGTCGTGTTGAGAGAGAAAATAAGGTCTTATATATATATATATATATATATATATATATATATATATATATATATATATATATATATATATATATATATATATATATATATATATAGAGAGAGAGAGAGAGAGAGAGAGAGAGAGAGAGAGAGAGAGAGTGAAAAGCTAAGTATAAAGAAAGCTGAGGTGTTACTGATATGAAAACACATTGCATATGTCGTGTTGAGAGAGAAAATAAGGTCTTAGAGAAATATGCATAATCTGTGTGTTTCAATAACACCACGGAAGTTTCACTATATAGGCTAAACAACAAATCAATATGCAATTCATTAAGAATCTCACATTGAATGAGAGATGGCTTCAATATAAGCGAGGACAATCCTCATGTTACAAGTCGATTTTCTAAAGTTGAGTTAGGTCCAATCCAAATTCTAATATGTTTTAAGAATCTATCGATCGCACTACCCACCATTTATATCCTTACGCCAAAGTTCAAGGCTTAACCTAAATTCTAGTATGATGTTAGAGCATATCTAAGAATTGTTGGGCCACATGCTATCAAATTTTTGTTATCGGGTCACTCACGTCACATTTCAGATGTTTAATCTTGAGCGTGAGGAGATGAGCTAAGAGTCGCGCATTGGATGAGAGATGACCTAAACATACTTCAAACATTCTATACTTTATTTAATATATATTTCGTGTTCTAACCTTCTCAAAAATAGCTGGTTTCATCTGACATGAAACTGTTCTTGACCAAATAAGTGTGTATAGCTTCAAGGATTCTTCATCTAATACCCCGGCCAGCATTGCTGAAAAGTCATCCAGAAGTAATATTGTTAGCTGTGGCCCTTGGCTCATCATTGAAGAAATTTATTTATGAAAGAACATATTACATGGTAACTTGCATATGTCAGTTGGTCTAATAGCCTCATGGGCTTCTTGTGCATTTTTCACCTTTTTAGAATACTTTGGTGGACTTTGTGCAACAAAATTTTGTCCATACCTGCACCCAGTAAATTTAAACCCACATAAGATAAACCAAAACTTGCTTAAACCACAAAACAAACATTCAAATAGACAAAAACCCTCTTTGTTCTACGCCTCCCTCCAGTTTCTTTTTTCTCCCAATAGACAAAATACTAAAAGTAAAAGAGTATTTCTGAACTTAGTGAAATTTTTAGTGGGAACATTTTCATGACCACGTGTGTAATTTATTATACAAAAGAACATATAAATTCATTTCCACATCAGCAACGTTAGACGTCTTAGAATTTTTTTAATAGACTTCTAACGTCAGGGACTAACTTAATCAAGAAAGTGAGATATAGAGATTCTAACCAAAGAAAAAAGTCTAGGGACCAAATTCAGAAACACGCTGACTTACAGGGACCAAAGGACTATTTAAGCCTAAAACTAACAATGCAACTTCAGACAAAATTGTTAGGGGGAAAAAAATAATAAATTCCTTTTAACATAGATAATAGAACCACACTTTTGATTTCTGAACCACTTTCTTAAATCCCAACTTTACAGTAATTTTTAGACATGTTAGTAATTTTTAGGTATTTTCTTTTTTGTTTCATATAAATATATTTTCACAGTTGTTAGTTAGACTCTAAGGAAATCATACTTCGCAAAAGTTGGCCGTATTAAAAGCCACATTATGTGTAAGGTAAACCCTAAAACTGAAATGTCTTCTTCTCTCTTGTTTCTGCAACCCACCACCGCGCTGCTGCAACCCACCACCGCGCTGCTGCACCCTTTCCCCTTTCTCCACCTTCTTTTTCTCTTCCTGTGTTTTCTTTCTTCTTCCTTCTTTCTTACTGCTCAGATTACACCAAGTTGAGGCAGGAAAATGCCGAAGATCTGACTGCAGCAGTTGAGACAGATCTTGGGGCAATTTGTGACTCTGATTCCCGCTCCTGCAAAACTCAGCTTACCAGACTACTGTGTCGCATCAGAACTCACCACTGGACCGCAAATGCACAATTGCACACGACAGCCCCACTGCAGTCGTAGTTCATTGGTGATTGTCAACAAGGGGAGTGCAAGTTTTGCAATTAAGCCATACTTCCAAGGTTAGACAAAACATGGCTCGTGTGTCGGTTTGCAAAATGTAATTTTTACGCAGAAAATATATGAAAAATCTGTATAATCAAAATAGCTTCTAGTACGGTGCATATTAATAAACTGATTATATATTCAGTAGTATTGAAACTCCGACCACAAGCATAAGCAGAAATAAGTACGGAGATGCACACATTACCTTTCAATGATCAGGGAGCGAATATTGCCAACAGCTTCATCAGAAATCTAAGAAAACTCCAAGTGTTAAAAATGGAAAGATCACAAAATTATTGGATTGACAGAAAGATACTCAAAATAAATATAAATGCCAACCACGTGCAAAACCGCTAGTAAAAATCAAAACTGTAATCTCATGTGGAAAATAACAGGAGATTAGTGGACAAATTTAAGGCCAAGATGCATGACATAGTTGTGGCAGAAAAACAATGCTAAATCCAGTAAAAATCTATACAATATAAGAAGGAGGATATATTTTGAAATGACATGGTCTGCTGCACAGAGACTGGTTCACAACATTTCACCACATTCATGTAATCAAAGTGATACCTACATGGAGCCCATCAGTTCTGATGTATGTTATCAAACCCACAGATATACCATTAGGTAGTTCAACTCCCTCGTAGAGTTTCTGACATAGCTGCATTCATAATTCAATAGAAATTAATGATGAAATTTCTAGAAAATCTAAAATGTAAACATAATTATTAAAAAAATTATAATTCCACAGGTAAAAACAGACATTGTTCGTTACAGCCATGGTTATGTCAAGTAGGGAAATATGATAGGATGAAATTAAAATCAGTACCATCATTGTTTGACTTGCAGAGAAATTCAATTTGTTTGCAGCATCTTGCTGAAGTGTTGATGTTCTATAAGGTGTAGGAGGACTTTTTGAAAATTTGTCTCTTTTCATGCTAATAACCCGAAACTCTGTAGAGTTTATTTTGCTTTCAATATCCCTTGCCTGCCCACCAGAAGTAATCGAAAATTGATTCAACTTGTTTGAATCAAAACGGGTCAGGTGAGCAAGAAATGTTAAGTCCTTGTTTAATCTACGCTCTTTCATATTAAACTTGGCCTCCATGGTCCAATACTCCTTGGGTTTAAATTGATCAATTTCCATTTCTCTATCACATACAAGAGAAAGTGCAGCAGATTGAACTCTTCCTGCTGATTTGCAACCCGGTAACTTCTTCCATAGTAATGGTGAAATGTTAAACCCAATCAAATAATCAAGGGCCCTCCGTGCAAGGTAAGCATGAACCAAATTCACATCAATCTCTCGTGGAGCTTGCAAAGCAGTTTTTATAGCTTGCTCGGTTATTTCATGAAAGACAACTCTAGCCAGAAAAATATTATCATGCAGAGCCCCCTGTTGTTGTAACATCTCAATTATGTGCCAAGCAATTGCCTCTCCTTCACGATCCGGATCTGATGCAAGGATAAGATTTTCTGCTCTGTGAAACAACATAAAATGAATTAAGCTAATGTATATGTGGTCAGACACTTGTGTATAGAGCATGGAAGTGAAACAATCCGTTGCAATTAATTGTAATTAATATGCTTCACTAGAATTATCTTAATCTACCCAACCAATGCTACTGGAAACCTATGGTAAGTGAATGCGAGAATATACCCGTTCAATGCAACATTGATGCTCGTCAGGTGACCAGATGCAGATGGTGGAACTTCCCAGACCATACTAAAATCATCATCGGGTCGCACAGATCCAGACCTGGAAGCCAAGTCTCTTACATGGCCATAGCTTGGCAAGACTACATACATATCACCGAGGTATCTCTGAATAACTTTTGCCTTTGTGACAGACTCCACAACCACGACAGACTTTCCCCCGGGTGGATATAGTGGTTTTTCTGTAAATTTCCCTAGCGGCTTCTCCAGATCAACCTGGCTAGAGATTACTTCCTTCTTCTTCGACCTTGTAGAAGCAGAATCATCCTGTATTTCTTTTGAAGTGCTACCGGACGAATCCTGAACAAATCCGTGTTAGCATCAAGGGTTAAAACAGCACCAAGCACGAAAGCAACGTTACGAATTGTGAATCAGATTAAAAAAATCTTCTTTTCTCTGGAACAGAGGGTCAAGACCAACAAAATTTCCAGGCCTGCGGTCGCAACATCTACCACAATACTAAGGCTATGTTTGGATTGACAAATGGGATGGAATGAAATCGAATGAAAATACAAACATTAAAAAGATACCTTATTTGAATTATTTAATAATAGGATTGGGTGGATCCTTTTTTCTATGGGGTAAAAATAAAATTGAGCATCTATTGTTCTCCATTCGACCAATAAAATTGCCGAACAAAAAATACAAGTTTATTCCATGAATTTTTTCCAAAACTTGTAATCACTGCAACGGCAATGGAGCCACAATATTTTTTCCAATTTCAATGATTGTATAATAACTACAACAACTAAGCAACCACAATTTAAAACCTATACTAGTAATACATATCATTTTCTAGTGTCTGAACCCTAACGTGCACATTCAATCACTTTTATTTTCTTAAATTATTATAGTGTCTACTAGTCACTAACTAATTAACTAATTACCGCGTGCATCTATGTGTCAGTGCCTCCATCTCAGGTGTTTGTGCCAATTCTCCACTACTAACCTTTAAATTAGTCTTCTTCCCTTTGGAAGATGCCTTTCTAGAAACCTCTTTAGCAACCACTTGCGACGAAAGCGTTGCAGCAGAAGTCTTACCATCCTTCTTCTTACTCTGCACCGGCTTCTTCTTCTTAGCAGCAATAATTTTGGAATCCTGTTTATCACTCTTAGACTCTTGACTCAAACCAGTTTTCCCTAAATCCACATTATTAACTTCTTTAGCAGCAGGTTTCTTGGAACTCACGCCCTTATCCTTATCCTTACCACGAACTGCAACAGCTTTTACAATTATCTTCCGTTTACTCTTCTCCGGCGCCACAGACGAGAACGGTAAACTCCTTTCAACGCCATTCGCCGGAAACTGAAAACTGAAACCGCTAACTGGCGTAACGGATTTCAGAGTAGTGAAATTAGAGACACTGAATGAACGAAATGAAAAACGGTTACGGCGTTGGACGGAATTGTAGGTTACATTCACGTGCGGCGGGATTACCGGATAGTGAAACGACCTGAGTTGAAACTGCGAGAGAGATTATGTTAATGATGAAGCGATTAAATGTGAGAAAATGAAAATTGAGTAAAGAGAGAGAATTAGAGTGAACCATGAGGTGGCGAAGAGAGGGAGAAGGAGTGGTGGTGGCGGTGGTGGAGGAGAAGAAGCAGCAGCTTCGTTGGAATTGAATCATTGCCTTGAGAGAATCTTCATTTCAATTTCAATTCTCAGTTTGAAGCTTTTTGGTGCGAAAGAGGGTTTAAGCACTGCCGAATAGGATAGGGAGTTGTGACAGTGAAACTGAAGTGGGTTGGGCTACTTGTGAAACCCATTGCTTTTTGCACTGGTGTTTTATAACTATTTTATGGTGAGTATTATTTTGGGTTTTTTTCACAACACCCCATCCGAAATTACCCCTTCTTACCATCTAGAAATTGAAAAACGAATGCATCCTTCCGAAATTACCCCTTCTTACCATCTAGAAATTTAAAACGAATGCATTTTTATACAACAAATCTTTTCATCTGTCTAAGTAAAAAATATTTAAATACATTATATTAGAATCTGAATTTCAATATTCAAACGCACCTCATCCAAATACAAAATTATTTATATTGTCTATATTGTCTATGTATGTGGTAACAAATGGGTGAACTTGGATTCCTATCTCAGGACAAATTCCTATACATAATCGTTTATATTGTTTGTATGTATATATGTGATAATAAATGAGAGAATTCAAATTTCAATATTTGGACAAATTTCTAGACATAATTACTTGTATTGCATCTATGTGTATGTGAGAACAAAGGGATGAATTTAAATTTCAATATATAAAAACAACCTGAAATAAATTGTAAGTATTGTCTGAGTGAGTATTTCGTAACAAATAGTTGAATCTGGATTTCAATATCCAAACAAATCTCTGGAAGTATTATGAACTCCAGGATAATATTATGAAACACAATAGAACACTTGGAGACTTTGTTTATGTGGAATAGCACTGCAACATTTGTGGACATTTATGAGTTCCTTCTTTACTACCAGTGGTGAGAACCTTCATGACATTCTCATAATGATTTTTTTGTTTGTGAACATGGAAGTGATTGTCAAGTATGAATATATGCACTAGCTTTTTTATACCTTCGTAATTCCAACATGTTCTTCATATGTACTAGTTATTTTCTCACACAATAAATCATACACGTAAGTCATTCATAAACCAAACACCAGTCATGTATAACTTAACCATTCAAAATATTTACATCAAAATACCAATTAAAATACATTTATTGGATATATCTAACTTTTTGGTTCCTCACTTGCCTCATATATTGCAATGCATTTTGTGCCTATGATAATATTGTCTGAAAGTGACCCTCCCATGATTGTCTTTCTGAAACTCTCTTATAACTATGTCATATCTCCCAATAACAACAATACAATGACATATAGGAAATACACCCACGACTTGGTATACCCTTTCATATTCCTCTTCTAGTAACTTCTTATGAGCTAGCCCAGGAGGATCTCCTTTTAGATTTGGTGTCGTGTAAGGATGAGACACTTTATAAAACCATTGAATGTAATTGTATACAGTACTCCATGAACGATGAGCTGACACACTACGTATAGCCTCTGGAACTAGATGCTCATGGTATTACTCTGCAACGATTTTTTCATCTTCTTTTTAGAAGCATTAATTTTGGGATCCTGTTTATTAGTCAATGAAGGTCATTGGAAGCCTATCAGGTTATATCATAATAGACCTCATTTATCACATTTATTTTTTGTAGATGATGTTCTTCCTTTTTACAATTTTACATAAGTTCCTTCTTACAAGATCGATGTTGTGTAATCATGATATGATCCAGACAAATCTCTATTCTATATGCAATCAGGACGCTGAGACGACTTTACACTGCTTGAGAGACTTTGAATTTTCTACTCATTTTTGGAAATCTATTGGCTTATTGGACCCCATATATTTCCAAAGGAATCATTTATATGATTGGATTAGACATGACATCGACTATGACCCTATTTTTTGCTGTTTGCTAGTGGTTGCAGCACGTTAGTAACAAATTGTGTCTTGGGAATAAAGTGGTGTCTTCATATACTTTGAAACTTATCACAATAAATTATGCTAATCTTTTAGCTAAATATTTTTTCAAGCATAATTTGTCACATCCAACGAAAAATATTACGTCGAATGCACACAAATGTAGTAATATGATTTTGAATAATGATGGTAGTAGTCTCAGTAATCCCTGCATCTTGGATTTTGATGGATTGATTTGAAATGATGATGTTTCTTGGGTTTACATTTTTGCAAGTAATATTGGTTTTCCAACATCCTTCACATTGAGCTAATGACGATATATCATGGATTTCATACGGCTTGGGAACTTGGCATTAAAGACCTGATGTGTTATTCTTAGTCCAATTTTGTTATCATGTTTATCTCATAGTCTGTTAATGTTTGACATTAATATGTTGTGATTTTTTACAATATTCAAGAGTTTATCTATAGGGAATAACGAGTTTAACAACTTCATACTCTTAAGACGGGGAATGGTTGTGTTGACTAAATAGCTAAACATAAGGATGCTAATGATGTGGTGTACCGGTCTTTTGCGAAGGCTCCTGTTGGTATCATGACTCTTCTGCTAGATGATGCTAGTGAAGTTGTATTTTCTAGCTAATTTTCTATTTTTTTCTCTTTTTTCCATATATAAAAAAACACAATATTGCACATCACTCTATTTCAACCTACTTTAAGTCCACTGCATTGCATTCACGAAATATTATTTGTTTTAAATATAATTTTTTTACAATTTTGATTTTTATAAAATGAGTCTAATTGGATAGAGAGGTGATAGTGTTGTATAAACTATAATTAACCCCAATTCCTAATTAATGTGGAACTTTTTGGTGTACCAGAACATTTGCCCTTTTATCGAGGTTAAGGAACTAAATGGTTTTAACCTTGAGTATGCTCGTGGGTCTAGTACACGAAGAAGGTCTGAACTAATATCTAATGGTGAACTTTAACAAGGGTGTTAACATCTTCCAACTCCATTCTAATGGTGGTGTACATGCAAATACTCTAACATGTAAGTTAGTGACAGTCGAGAATGAATGGTATTTAGATTTAGAATAATGTGGACATGAATATGAAACCTTTGTTAAGATTTTATAATATGGATTTAGATTTTGAAACCCTTTTGTATGGGAAATTTGTATCGTTGGACCAATGGTTCTATTCATATAATTTCCACTTTGTTTATTGTGTGTGTGTGTGTGTGAAATTCTTACTTATTGTTCAATATGCTCATTTCATGACACTTTTTTGATATTTAGGAGTCGATGAGTCATGATAAAGTTTGTCAACGTGCTCACAATAAGAAAGAGACCGTGTAGTCGAGTTGTCATTCGATGTAGGCTTCATTTTTTTCTGAGCACCTTTTGTCTTTACTAGTTGACAAGGAGGTTTCATGTCGGTTGTGAAGGTGAGATATAACTTAGAAGGGGGGGGGGGGTTGAATAAGTTTGGAAAATTAATACTTGAAAATAATCACACAATTATTTTTATCCTGGTTCGTTAAACAACTACTCCAGTCCACCCTTCCAGAGTGATTTGCCTTTCTCAACAAGGACTTAATCCACTATTAAATCAAACTGATTACAATAGTATCACCTAAGAACTACAGTTCTTAGTCTTCTCAAGAGCTACTGATTCACACTGAATCCTCTTAAGGAAAATCCTTTACAAACAATGTAAATTAAATACAAGAGTTTTTAATGCTTCTATAAAGCTATAATCACAACAGTGATTTTTCTCTTAAGTTTTAAGTACAAAGATTCTATGAAGAATAAGAATGAGAGCTTAAGAATATGTGATTTCTTTTCAGCAAGTGTGTAGCTCAAGAGTATGTCACTGAAGAATGAAGTGAGAGACTCCTTTTATAGGCAACTAAATTATCCACGTTGAAAAGAGAGTCCAAAAGGTCTGAGCCTTTTTGTCTTCACATGTACTGACCTTTCCTTGAAATAGATGGCACAGATAAATCCTTTTTGTCTGTGTAAGTGTGTCTAGCACAAATAAGGAAAGAGACGTTGAATGATTCCAACGGATACATTCTTGAAAACACTTCTTCAGTTTCAGCAAGTTCTTCAGAGTCTGAATGGATCAGAGTCTTCTGATGAGTTTCAGAACTATGTTGTATCAGAGTCTTCTGCAGCGTGTGTGCTTCTAGCGTGTAGATCATCAGAGCATCTTGACGCATAACTTCAGTACATGGCAGCGTAGGTACTTTCAGAAACTTCTGTAGGTCAATGCTTTGAGAAACTCTTCAATCAATATTCTTCTATGCTTCTAATGCTTCAGCTTCAGATGCTTCTGATTATCTTCAGATGCTTCTGACTCAGAATGTTCTGGAGCTTCTTGCTTCAGATCCTTCTGGAGACTACGCTCAGGATCTTCTGTAAGGAGCAAGCAGATTCTTCTGAAAGATGCATCTGGCGCTTCAGAGTCAGAATAACTTCTTGTATTCAAGGCAGATTTGCTTCTAGAGAGTTAATATAATTTTAATCTGCAGTAAAACTCTCAAACAAATTTTAGAGTATATAATTCTTAAATATAAATTTCCTAACAGTTATCATCAAAACAAAGAGTAATTATTAAGAACCAATCTGTGTTCTAACAATCTCCCCCTTTTTGATGATGACAAAAAGTATCAGAAATTTTATTTAATTGAACTTAAAGAATTATAACTCCCCATGAGATGATGAATCTCCCCCTGAGTTAAATATGAAAAAGGAATAGAAACTTCCCTTTTTATCTTGAGTAATCTTCAGAGTCAGATCTTGTTTGTCTTGTAATAATCAATAGTCAGAATATCTTGCAGATATAAGATTCAGAGTTTGATAAAAGATAACTAATCTGAGAAACTCAGAGGTTCTTTTATAGAGTGTTCTTATCAAAAGTTCTGAAATAGTCAATTTAGATATTAGAAAGAATAGATATGTCTGAAGATTTATTCTAGTGAAATTATATTAAATAGTTCAGATCTTTATTTTCTCCCCCTTTTTTGTCATAAGCAAAAAGTAAAAAACTTTTAAGAAAGACAAATAAAAGGAATAATAGCAGATAATTCAATGGAGAATAACAGTCTGATTCAATTAATTATA